CCCGCCCCCCCCGCCCCCCCCCCCCCCCCCCCGCCCCGCCGCCAATGGCACCCAGGGGGCGGGCACTGCGCGGCGCCTCCACCAATGGCGCTGCAGGACCGCCGCGGCCTCGACCAATCAGAGAGAGGCGATGTTAAAAAGGGGCTGAAATCCTTAAAGGGGTGTAGGTGGGGCAGATTTTTGCCGACAAAAAAATTAGAGTTAAAGGGAGGTAGAGGCAGGGCGGGTTGCACCTTAGAGACTAACCCCCCCCGCGGGACCCAAGTGTCCAAGGCCTACACAGCTCGTGTCCAGACCGCCCCGCAACCCCCTGGCCAGTCCCTGGGCCCCACAGACCAGGCCTCACCCAGCCGGCCACGGCTTCCTGCTGTGCCCCATGCTGCCAGGGCAGGCCCTGGGGTCGGGAGAGGCCGGAGTCCCTGCAGAGCGGACAGTCGTGTCCCCCCCACCATGTCTGATTATAGGGTAAAATTCCTTCCTGACCCCAGATCTGGGTCGGTCTGAGCCGGAGCCGAGGGGCCAGGCTCTGTTGCCACAAACCTCTGGCTTTGGGCCCAACAGCAGCCTTGGTAGGGGTAGGGGTCGGGGTCGGGGTCGGGAGCCCCAGGCCTGGGCTGCAGCCAACACCCGGCACCTCTGACAAGGGCTTGAAAACACTGAACAGTAGCAGAAGGAGGGGGCAAGCAGCAAAGCCCAGGAGCCTGGGAAATCCCCACGGCAGGACACGGCATCGCTGCGCCTAGACGACCCCAGCCGGCGGCTGTCCAACCTCTTCTTGAAGACAGCCAGTGATGGGGAGTCCACCGCTCCTTTGGGCGTCTGATCCGCTGCCTCACTGCACTCACGGTGAAGACCTTTTCCAGATATCTGATCTAAATTTGCTTTGCTGCAACTTCAAGCCAGTGGTGAACATCCTCCTCTGCAGCGAGAAAGAAAAGCTGCTTTCTCTGCTCTTTATGGCAGCGCTTCAAGTATTTGAAGACTGCTTTCATGTCCCTTCTTCAGCACCTTTCCCACAAGCTGAACATGCCTAACTCTCCTCAGATGACTCTCTTTCCAAGCCCTTGATCATTTTTGTTGCCCATCTCTGGACCCTCTCTAACTCTCCACATCCTTTTTAACGTGTGGAGCCCAAAGAGCACAAGCTTCTGTGAGCTCAAGTCCACTTCAGCAGATGCTCTAGCGATTGAAGCCACTTCCTGAGGTGGCCCCACAGCTGGAGGCATGGGTCTAGGATGCATGTCATGTGCCCTATACTGCTCCTGGGGGAGAGGGATTCCCAGGGACCAAGCTGGGGTCCCAGCCTGTGCCCCAGCAGAGCCAACACCTTCCATATTTGCATGGGCAGCTGCAGCTCAGGGGACAGGGGTAGCTCAGACCACAAGGACTAACCCAGGGCTAGCCTGAAGGAGGGGCAGTGGCTCCTGGCCCCTGGCTGAATGGGACCAGGCTTGTGGGAACAACCCCTGAGGATTTCTTTTCTAAGGACTGAAGCCAAACCATATTGCAAACATAAGACAATTAAAAATGAGGGGGAAACACCTTTCCCTTTCACATAGTGTGTTCTCCCATTACCATCAGGCAAGAAAAGCCCTGTAAAACAAGGGAGGTTTTACAGGTACACTGGGTTTGAGCTATGAGGCTACAGAGCCTTTCTACAGAGAAAGGGGTTAGCAGCTCTTATTGTACATAGCATCTGAAACAATAACATGGCAACTGCACTCATAAGGCGGGGGGGTGGTAAAATGACCCCTCCTGGCTACATCTGCAGGACTTGACTTCAAATAAAGCAGTGCTAGTACAGGCCAGTCACACACACTGGCTGCTCTTTGGGACATCCCCACACCTAGCTGTGGTCCCAGCCAGCCTGATGCCAAGCAGGGCACCGAGGACCATTAAGGGAAAGCACTTACCTGGTATCCAATGCACCTTACACCCTGCCTGCTCAGATGGGGTTTGATTTGCTCTGGGCTGGCTGAGACTTGTTTGCAATGATGGGTGCAATCAGGCTGCTGCCCAGGGAGCGGACAGTGGTATTAGGTAATATCTATCTCATGGAAGCCCCTACAAGCCTAGCTCTTCCATTCCTGAACAACCACAGAATCAAAAGCCAGGCCTCGCCCAGAGTCTATAATCTGGAGAAATTATATCCCTTTGTTTGCTGTACCCTGCTCTGATCTCACTCATCCCACAGCCTGTCTGCTTGTGAGTCTCTGCATCCTCTCTCTTGCACGAAGGCATAGACTTCTCACCCCACAAGCTTCCCATCCTGGGGAAAAGGGCACAGAACATGGAGCTCCACAGAGACAGCCCATTGTTTCCTCTGGCAGATTAGCACTCCAATCTATTTATGTTTATAACAGCATTGTCAAGGTTGTGTGCATTTTTGCATGAATAATTTAGAACTATTCAGCAAGCACAGAAGGTTCAATGCAGCCCCTGATTTGGCTGTGCAATGCAGTAATCAACAGCAGTGAGATGTCAAGAACCAAGGCTATGCCTGCTGCTATTGGAAACATCCCTCTGATTTTGGGAGGGGAGGGCACAGTCCAGCCCTACTCCCCTCTAGACAGATAGGTCCTGCTTCTCTACTGACTGCCATAGCAGCAACCCTGTTCTCTCACTGAGACTGATTTTTGAATGCTTAAGCAATGCAGAGACCATCTGCTGGCAGGAACCCTGAGAGCAATCTCAATCTCATACTGATGCTAGATGATTTCTGCTCTTCTGGACAAGTTCATGCCCTAGGTCCTGGCCTCAGGGTCCAGAGGGATCAGGACACCACACTTCACCGCCCTGACTGTATACTGCTGCCCTCTAGTGGCTGATCCACAAAATGAATATGCCTCAGCATGAGTAAAGGGTGCATAAATTAGGCCATCTGGCCTAGTGGTTAGGCCACTGTGGGAGGGCAGAAGCCAAACCACAGGCCCCATCAGGGGTCAGGAATCAGGAACTGAGTTACCAGATACAGGCTAGGCCAGGGGTCAGGAGGCTAAGGTCAAGTTACCAGAACCAAAGAGGTAAGCGACAAGTCAGGGTCCAGGAAATAGGAACCAGATCCAAGAGGAAACCCAAAGCCAGAGTGCAGGAAGAGCCAAACCAGGCTCAGGAGCCAGGAAGCTCATCAAAGCAAACCTGAGTCGATAGTGTTGGCTGGCCTGGAGCCTGCTGCCACAGCTGGAACTAAATGGGTAGCTTCTCTCCCAGCGGCTCAGGAAGCCAGTCAGCTAATTAGCTGGGGTAGAGCTGTCAGTCAAAGTTACAGGCGGGTGTGGCTGTGTATACCATTAACCCAGGCTACTGTAGGGTCCCTAACACTTTTGGAGGCTTAAGAAGCTGTCTCTTGGAGGGTTGGGGAGAAGGCTTTTCTTTTTGGGGGTGGGTTTGGATCTGCACCACATCACAGCTCTGTGTCCCAATGGTCACACATACGTCACCGGCCCTCGCTCCTCTTTTCCAATGAGTTCTAACAAAGCTCTTGTCTTATCCTCCTTTGATCGGCCCTGTAATTGCTTCAGTCCAGGCCTCTGCTTTCATCTTCGCTGCCTGCCCTCCCCACCAAAGCCAGACAGAAGAGGCAGGCCTCACCATTGTACATTCAAGTTATACTTTATGGTTATTCAAAGGAAATAGATCTCTCATTATAAGTATATCTCAGAATCTGTGCCGTGGGACACCAGCGGGAATTGTACAACGAAACGTCATAAAATACAAACCTAGTATTTCTGCTCTGCACAAGAGGAGACGCGAGACCCAACTCTTCAATAATATGCATCATAAAAAAGGAAATAAATAGAACATGCATTTATCAAAGAACTCTGTCTGGTTTCAGTAAAAGCCTCCTGGGAGCCCAGCTGAGAAGATGCTGTTTCACTCTTTTATTTATTATTCATTTTGTTAGACCGGGAGGAAGAATGGATGGAAGAGTTGGGCCACCGCTGAAAGAATCCTCAAAACCTTGTGGTCAGAGGATCTGCTCAGATCTTAGCTATAAAATATGGGTAAGACCCTAGACAGTGCAAAGGAACAGTTAGCTACAAAAATGGGGCAAAAGTGCTTTTGCCTTCCCCCACTGCCATGGGAGGAAGAAGTCACAGCTCTGCAGGTGAGAGGGGAAGGGACATGCCACCGCTGAGAGAGCAAAGGAAAACAGCCCAATGTAGTCTGATGTTGGAAAGCAGGAAATCCAAGATAAAAATATTGGGAGAAAGATGTCTTGCTCACCCCAGCGGTGCTGGGAAGGAAGTCCTCTCCATAGTGTCCTGATAGGCAGGTCTGGCTCCTACTATTGAGCTCTTACAACAGAAATTATCCCACCTGCTCAGCTAGTGGGTGCTACCCAGGTGGAGGGATGCCTGCCCATGACAGTGCTGTAGCTGAGGGATTCCTGCCCCTGTTGATGGAATGGCTGCTGCTCCTGCTGACCCAGGCAGCTGGTTGTAGGAGCACACCAAGAGGTCCAGCGCTAGTGCCAAAACAGCAGGCATTTTTTACTCGCTCCCTTGGCACTGGGCCAAACCAGAATGTGTGCTTTCATGGTTCTGATGCATTTGCATTAGTGATTCATCACATGAGGAAATTCAGCCTCCCAGGGCCAAGGGATTAGTGCTTAAAATTTAATCGATGTGCTCAGAGTGGAAATGGGTCTGTAGCAAAATCACGTACCAGAGAACACAGCTGGCTTTTCTCTGTATAGCAAGTCAGCTCTGCACTCTCTGGCACCAGGGACCCCAATTTTCATTGGGATCTGGACTTGGAAGCCCCAGCAGCTTGGGTTACCCCTGTCCAGCGATAAGATAGCTGGATCCAGGTCTTTAGTCCAGAAGACAGCAATGCCTGTGGGCTCCATAGGAGCAAGGCCAGACTGTTCCTGTCTCCCAGGAGATCCCAACTGTACTAACTACCCTCCATTGCAGTGTGACTTTCTGCCTCCTCTTCTTTCTTCTCTGCCCCAGAAAGCTGATTGCCCTCCAGGGAGCTCTCACTGCTACCCCACTTAGCACAGCCATCACCCCACAAGCAAATAACACATTCAGCCCCCCATTTTCCCATGCACAAGCAAAGACCATACATGCACAGATCCCAGCCCAGGTGTGGTGCCAGGATCTGACACACAGGACACTGAAAGCACTGCTCAGAGCTTTCTAGCCAAAGGATTTGGGCTGCAAGACCTGTTGGCTTTAAACTTGACTCCAAAGACAGCAGTAGGGGGAATGAAAGGCAGCCCCAGCAAACAGGACTGGCTTGCAGAAACCAATGCAATACATGGTGCTGGCAACTCTGAGAAACAAGTTTCTCTCCCTGTCTGCACTGATGGGAAGCAAGCAGCATCAAGAGCTGAGAGCCCAGCCATTCCTTCCACGGCCACCACTCTCAGGTGCTCTCCATAGCACAGGGCTGCTCCAGGCACAAATGCTCATCTGGAGTAAGTCAGTGTCACCTTTGATCGACCCAAACTGCACTAATCTAGAGCAGCTGAGGATCCAGGCTCTGATTTCCAACCTCACTAAGGCAGGCATTTGGCATCAGTTCCCTGCACAAGGCATTTGGCAGCCAATTCAATTCCCCTTGCTGCTCTCTTGCTGCTTTCACATCTCCTTGGCATTTTCAATTAGGCAAAAAGTGCACTGGCCCTTTCTGAGTTTGGCTGGGAAGGCAACAGGCTGAGGCTGATCTCCTGCCCTTCCTGGGAATTCAGGATGCAGAGACTGTGTTTAGTGTATGGGTCTCAGTGAGCATGGCCTAATCTGCACAGCCTCCCCCAGTGCCCAAGGTAGGTTGGTAACATCATTCTTGACAGCTGGCCGAGACACTGCAAGAGCTAAGGGATATGTCCAGTTATGGGATGAATTTCAGCCCCAGAGCCCCGTGCTGGGGCCGTCTCTCATCACATCACCCCAGCACATGGCTTGGATTCTCTTGGCCTTGCAGCAGGTGCTTGTGGGCAGGCCCTTTCCCCGCAGAAGACAGTGTTGGCTGATGGGTGGAGACACTGTTAGCCTCCATGTGGGCCAGCAGATCTGTCTGCTGAGCATCCACACACAGGCAGAGCCACTTTCCAGCAGCAGTGAGACTGCAAAGGGGCAGCATTTCCAAAACCAGCCAGGAGCTGCCATAGGCCCCTCTCTGCATTTCCTGCAGCTGCAGCCCCCTTGCCTGCAGCGCTGCCTAGTGCTAAGGGCAATGGAGCTGCAGAGGCTTACCCCAAGGCTGAACATGGCAGATGGCTGCAGCTGGTGTCTAGCAGTGATGAGCTTCTACCTCCTGTAGCAGATGCCTCACAAGATGCTGCTGCTCCATCTGGCTTTGCTCCTTACCGTTGGAGCTGGTCCTTAGTGCAGCCTTCTCAGGGTGGAAGAGGCAAAGCCCTGTTTACCCTGGGCTGGCTGATCCTACCCACACAGGGCACGTAGCTCTCCCAAGAGCACAAGGCAGCAGGGGGTGGGGAGAGAGGGCACTGAGGCCTCATTTCTGCCACCCCCACAGCTGTAGCCCTGCCAAGGAGGTACCAGGACCATGCCCAGCACCAGTGAGCTCCTCTGATGCACTCTGAGTTGCACAGCTCCACAGTCCATCTCGGTCACCTGGAGCCCTCCCAGGCTGGGGCAAGCAGTTGTGCATGGGGCCCAAGCAGGACCAAGCACCCGCAATTCAGCCCAGCCTCTCACTTGGGGCCAGTGGTGCCCAGGGAGACAGTGGCACTATATACGGCTCCCAGAGATACCAGCTTGGCCAAGGGGAGAGCTTGTTCCTGGCTGCTCTTCTCAATAGTGGGGGGCAAGGGAGCTCCGCAACTGGGAGGGAAGACTGATTCCTCTCTGCGTCACCGGGGAGGCTCTGTGCTTCAGGCAGGAGTGGGAAGGGGCCTGGTGGGAGGGAACCTTTGCCAAGGTGGAGATCAGGCCAGCGCACAACACATCAGGGCGAAAGGGCTCCTGTGACCTGGCCTTGGAAGGGCCAAGCAGGAGAGAGGTGAAGCAGGGAGAGGGAAGGGGGCATTCCCTATCTGAGGCAGACCAGAGATCATGGCTTGAGGCCATGCCCTGTGCCAGGGCCTGAGCTCCTCTAAGGGTACTGAATGATGGCGAGGACACAATAGTTGCAACTCCCTGTCTCCTGCCCAGGCCCTCATGGGCCCATGCCCTGTGCCCAGGACCAGTGCAGTTCCAAGGGGGAGCATCGCCTGGGAGCCAGGAAGGGATGTTTACGAGCCTTGGCTCTCTCAGCTGCTCAAAGAATGTCGCATGCCAGGTGCCTGGATTGCGGCTGCAGCCTCACGGGACAAAGCCCCCTAGCAACAGCCCATCTGCGGCAGGGGCTTTCCCCAGCCCTCCTGGCCTGGGGGCACATTGCTGGGAGGACACTGGGGTTCCAGACCCCGCCAGCAAAAGCTGTGGTCACCACATTGCCCTTTGGCAGGGACCCTGCCAGTATCACACTTCCTGCCCCTGCTCTGCCCCAGCCTGGTGTGTTGCTTGTGCTGCAGGGCACGGACCCACTGGCAGGAAAGCAGGGGGCTGGTCTGGCTCCACATGGCTCTAACAACCCAAGCGCAGCACCAGCCCAGGGCTTGGCTGCAGCATACCCAGGAGGATCACAGCAGTTGGGAGCCTTTTGAGCCTTCATCTGCTGCCAGCCCACTGGGGAGACAGTGGGGCTGCCACCTGGGGGAAAAGCAAGCAGCCTGGAGAAGTCAGCCACTCCCTGTTCCCTTGCAGCTCTGTGAGGTCAGGCTGTGCCTGATGAACACACCAAGGAGTTCCCATTTCAGAGCTGGGGTGAGGGGTGCTGATGAGCTGCTCCCCCTGGCCCCTTTCCTCCCCCAAGCCTTAACAGGCTTCTTGCTGGTCCCTCCACCCTCCTGCACTCAGAGAAGCTTGTTCTGCCCTGTGGGGAAGCATCTCCCTCCAGCTTTAGTGCAGCATTGAGCTCCCACCCACTGCTCAGCTCTAGCATGAGAATCCCAGTGCCAGACTGGATGGGAAGGACAAGCCCTTGCTCCAGGGAGCTCAGGAACAGGTGTGCTGTGCTCATGGCAGTGCTGGATCCCACAGGGAAGCAGCTCAGCCAATAGATCCCCAGCGGCTTTCAAAGAGATCCCGTCCCCAGCAACAGCCATCCTGTTGCACAGGCCTGACTCCCAGCCCAGGGCAGAGCCGCAGCTGCCTCGCTGGGACACCAGGGCTGGCTGTACAACAATGCCTGAGGCATGTGAGTCCTAAAAAATCAGAGATCCCAAGCACAGAGCACAGGGCTGGGAGATCACGCAGCTGAAAGGTTAGTCCCCAAGGGCCTCTGCTGCAGAGAGGATATGGGGGAGCTAACATGGGGGAGAGGCTAAGCCCAGCAGCTGTGGGGCAGGCAGCTGGACAGCTCAGCCCAGGGGATCTAGGGAGACAGGGACCCTGGCTTCAGGCACAGCCACCCTGTCTGCACTCAGGGAACCTCATGGGTCACTGTCACCTGTCCCCTAGAAGCTCCACTGAGTTACTGCTCACATACAGTGGGGTGAGGGGGCCAGGCCCCTCGTATATAGGTGACTGGTGCTGGGAGAAACAAGGAGTGTGTCTGGAAGACAGCAGAGACCTGCCCCTCAGCTCTGCACACTGCCAAGAATAAGAAATACAATGGGTGTGGGAGGAGGGTGGGTGGGTGTGTGTGTGTGTGTGCGCGCGCACGATGGGAAGGCACGTGTGCACATTTGTATGTGGTGGGAGGGCATACATGTGCATGTGTGGCAGTAGGACATGCATGTGTGGGCATGTGTGCACGACTGGAAGGGAACACGTGTGCATGTGTGGAGGGAGGGCATGCCTGTGTGTACATGTGTGGTGAGCACTAACAGGAGCCCTCCCTGAGCTCCCAGCAGTTCACAGGCCCTGCTGCATTTGCCAAGATCAATCTGAGGGCAGGAGATGCTTCCCAACAGGCCTTGGCATTGGGCTGATGCTGATGCGGGCCCAGCCTCCTTGCAGGCCAAGAAAGACTCGAAGGTGGTGGCAATGACAGGGTGTCCTCAAGCTGCCTGGGGCTGGTAGGGGCTCCAGCACCATGGCAGGGAGGCAGGATGGAGGTGGGGATCACAGTGCTCTCTCCCCTCCCTGTCCTCTGGGGCAGGTGGTTTCTGCCCCAGCTACAGGATCCTCATACACATCAGGATGTGCTAGGGCTGCTCCCCTTGTGGGGTCAGGGAAGTTCCCAAAGGCATCTGGCTGCCACTTGTGGGCAGGGCCAGGTCCCTGGCTGGATTTACACTGCAGTCCCCAACCCCTGCCTCACATCAGGCCCCCACCCAGAGACACTGCTGTCCCTGCCCTGGCAGCTGCCCCATGCCAGGCACCTCCATGTATGCTTCCCTAGCCCTGAGAGGGGGCAGTTCTGCAACCCCGCCAGCATGCAAGCACCAGCTCCTCACTCCCATGGGCACACGCTGCCCATGCCCAGCGCCAAGCTGCCACCCAGGCCCACCTGCCTCTGCCCTCATGCACACAGACCCCCAGCACAGTGCCACATGCTCCATGCATGCTCTGTGCACCCCATGCCATGCCATGCCCCATGCACTGCAGCAACCCCTCCCCTCCCCTCCTGGCCAAGGCACTGACTCCCAACTAAGAGCATCTATAAAACACATGTGGCTCTTTACCTGTAGGTGCCTGCCTTCAGCCACATGCCTGCTCCCCTCCACCTCCTCCTGAGAAGCCCACCCACCCTTGGCAGCCCAACCTTATCCCCTTGGGTACCAGGGGATGGAGGCTGTGCCCCCCCCACCGGGGCATCCTGCAATTCTGGGGCCTTTGCACAATGCCTCATTGCTGCTGCAGGCACAGCCCTGCAGTGGGGTTACTTTAACCCCATCCTTGCTGGGGGGAGCTTGAGGCACCAAAAGGACCCAGCTCTGTCCCTTCCCCCACACAGTCTGTTTCTATGGTCACATTTGGTTCACTCCGATTGCAAGTGGATCCCAGCACTGAAGACAGTCCTAGCACCAAAACCCAGCTTAAGCCTTGCCCACACTGCTCTCCCAGCACCCAGGGGAGCCAGATACACACACTGGGGGCACTGGGAAGGCAGCCCTGTCTGTCCAGTGGGCCCCCACTGAGAGGCAGCATCCCCAGGCCCCTCTCAGCTACACCATGGGGCTGGCTGCAGCAGAGGTGGCGCTGCACTGGTGTAAGTGAGAGGAAGAGACTGGGCCTGGACCTGGGCCTTGCCACGAGGGAGGATTAGGTGCTGCTGCTGTGGGGCTTTAGCTTGGCCTCACTGAAAGGCAGGAAATGCCTTGGCACTTCAATCTCCAGCCTCCCTTGTTGAGTCTACACAGGGCCTCAGGGGTCTTTCCAGAGTTTCCACTCCAGGCTCTTTCCTGAGGTGCAGCACCCCCTGCTCCTACTAAGAGGGCAGGGAGAGTAAAGGACTGGAGATGCTCAGTACCACACAGGATAGGGCCCTTGTTTTGGCAGTGGGAAATGACTGGGCCTGGGGAGGTGCTGGAGGGTGGCAGGTTTGGCAAGGGGAGTAACTGTGGGTAGAGTGACTGTGGGTACATGTGGCAGCAGGCAGGGGAACAGGCATGTTGGATGGAGGTGGCAGTAAGCCTCACACAAACAGGCCCCTGGTGAGCCCCAAACACACCTGTGGGCACTGTGACATGGCCCCGTGCCCTCTCCCCTATGCACATGTGCAGCTGAATGGGTGTCAGCTGCCTCGCATGCTTGGCAGGAACATTCCCAGAGGGCAGGATAACACCCATCCCCTTGCTGGCTATTTGCAGAATTAAACAAGGATGGGTGAGGGGAGGGCTGCTCACCTGTGCATGGCTACAGCCTGCCAGCCGCCTGGGTCACAGGAGTGGGCACGTCCATGTATGCTCAGAGGTAGCCTTGTTGTCTAGTGGTTGGCGCCACAGGCTGAGGCTGGGGATCCTACTCAGGACGAGCTGTTCCTAGAACAGCTGAGAGCCAGTGGCTTGAGAGCCCCGTGCCATGGCTAGAGGTCACCAGGAAAGGCAGTGATGGAATCTCCCAGACACCCCATGTACCTCAGACCCAGGGGCAGGGCACTGACCTTACCCAACATGCAGGGCTCCTCTCCTCATGGCAAACTTCATACCCCACAACCAGCCATGTCCCTTTGCCCACTCCCCAGCCCTCCATCTCCACCCAGACAAACCAGGACCTGGAGACCTCAGCAGCTCCTGATCTAGCCAACCAGTGGCAACAAACGTGGGTGGCCAGAGACCTGCTAAGAGTCCATGAACCCATGCTTTCCCAGCAGGGCAGCAATCTTTCCTCAGGACTCCCCTAGGGCTGCGAGCCAACACGTATCTGTTAGAAACGATAAGAATATACTGACCGGCCAGGCTAGTGCGTCCATAATAAAATACGTATCTACAAAGGGTAAATAAATAAGAGGCCTGGGTGCCAGACAGGAGAGAGGTGGCCACGGGGCTGGATCACATGATGTCATCCAGGAGGTTGGGGCTGGCGACCCAGTCCAGGGTCCGTGGCTCCGAGGCGGCCATGATCATACACATGAACTGCTTGCCGGTCCTCTTGTCGATGGGGTAAATGGTGGTGGGTGTGAACCTCTTGTTGCTCTCCACAAAATCACAGAGCTGCTCATAGATCTTGGGGAACTCATGGCGCAGGAAGACGCCACGGATCCGTAGCTCCCGCTGGATGTTGATGAAGCACACCTCCCGGGCCTTCCTCCCCTCCTCGCCCTCCTTGTCGATGTCTGCAGTGCCGGGTGGTGGGGTCAGGATCAACGTCTCCATGTCCCGCTCCTTCTTCAGGATCTTCTTCTCAGGGCTAGAAGAGGCTAAGGCCACCTTGGCATATTTCCTGACCGTTGGCACCTGCATCTTCGGCGATGGCCTCTGAGGCACTTTTTGGCCAACGGCCACAGTTACATTCAAGAGGAAACATTCATCGGGGTCATACTGGTTGCCAGCATCCCGCAGCTCCCGGGCATAATCCCCCAGGTTGTCGGAGTAACCCTCCAGCTCCCGCAGGGACAGGTAGGTAGGCGACATGAGCAAGCTCTCCAAGCCAAACTGGAGGAAGTTTTCAGCTGAGCCCGAGTTGGGGAAGCCCAGGAAGAGCACCCCCCGACCCCGGGAGAGGTACCCAACCTTGGCAATGCGTGAGAAAGCCTTGTGCACCTCGGCGTTCTCCCGGCAAAACTGCAGCACATGCCGACAGATACTCCCTATGCGCCCGTAGATGCAGTTCTCCTTGTGGATGTCCCAGTCCTCCCGGCGGCAGTTCCGGGAGCAATAGTAGGTGTAGCAGCTGTGGCAAGACTTGAAATAGAGGCAGGCATTGAACATGGTTTCTGTCCGCCGACACTTGGCATTGGAGCACATCATCATGTCGTCCTCCTCAGCGCTCAGGTCCGGGGAGCAGTCGTCCAGCTGCTTCTCAAAACTGCTGCTAGAAATGGATGCTGCCAGAGAGGGCCCACCATGCTCCTTGCGCAGGTCGCTGCGGAAGCAACTGGGCCCTGGCTGCTCCTTGGTAGGCCTGGGCTCCATGGCGGAGGACAGTGGTGGCCTCTGAAACTCTGGCTTCCTGGCAGGTGCTGGCGCGCCATTACTGATCAGCTTCTTGAGCTGGTCCGTCAGGCTGTCACCGTCGGCAGTGCGGTGGCTGGGCGGTGGCTTGTAGTCAATGACCAGGTCTGTGATGAGCTCGTCCAGCTGCTCCAGGCTGCGCTGGCGGGCAGAGCTGCTCTGAGTGCTCTCTTTGGTAGCGGGCCCTGGGTTGTAGGGTGTAGCATAGGGGCGGTGCCCATCCCGCCCCGCGTCCAGCACATCCCAGCTGGCCGAGCGCTTCTCACTCTTGCCCAGGCCATTGGCTTTAATGTCGTTGTCTGTGATGGTGATTTCCGGGGTGACGAACCAGGACCGGCCCATGGCGTACCTCCCACCATCCGAGTGCACCCTCTCTATGAGAGAGTTCTCCGAGAGGGACAGTGCAGCGTATCGCTTTGGGGAGCTGGACAGGTTGATCACCACTGGCTGCCGCCGGTCGTCAGGTGATAAGGCACGTTGGTGGTGGCCCTGGGCAAGCAGGTTCTCATAGCTGCGCCCGCGGCACATGGGATCCTCGTGGCGGATGCTGGGGGTCAGGATGTTGTCCCAGGACTTGGAGTAGTGCCGGCTGTCAGTGCCCAGCCTGGGTGGATTTGTGCTGTAGCTGGCGTGCCAGGAGGAAAGCAAAGCCTCGTGCCCAGAGGGGTGGGGGGCAAAGCGAGACATCTGCAAAGTCTGATAGGGCAGCGCCCCCCGGTCTGGGCAGTACCAGTCACTGAAGTGCAAGGGTTGGACACTGCGGGGGTGAGGGTACGTCCTAGAAATGGCTTCTCTCTCATGGTATTTCCCATAATCCTCAGCATAGAAAACCCGGGCAGAGGAGCTTAGGGCGGGGTAGGCCCGGGAGTCCTCTGCATACAGGGTTTTGATGGGGGCACTCCGTGGGGCAAAAAAACGAGGGTCATCTCCATAGAAAGTGTGGCTGGGGGCTTCCTGGATGGGGTAGGTCCTTGCTTCTTCCACATAGAAAGTCCTGGGGGGGACGGTGTGCACGTTTCCCTTGCTTATGTCCTCTGGGTAGAAGTGCGGTGGAGGGATGGGACGTGCGGGATAGGGGTGAGGGTACCCTTCATAGCCAGAGCTTTTCAGTGGGATGCTAGGACACCCCACGGGCTCCTCAGTATAGAAGAACTTTGTGGGCACAGCTGGGGTGGAGAAGCTCACACAGCCCCTTTCAGGATACTCCCGAGGGGAGGGCACAGGCACTGTCTGGTAAGCCATCCCCCGGGGATCCCCCTCATAGTACTCATTGGGGTAGGGGACGACCCGGTGCTCCCCACTGTAGGAGTCACTGGGTGTGGGGGTACGAGACATGGGCACTTGCCTGCTGCTGGGCACGGTCAGGCTCCTAGCAGTGCCAGGAGGCCTCGGCCAATATGGTGCCTCCATCCTGTTCTGTGCTGCCTTTATGCTGCGTGCCGCATGCACCAGCACCGCTTCGTCTGGCTTGATGTCCATCCGGCACTTGACATGCGGGCTGGCAGCTGGCTTCATGCCGGGGGCATCCTCAAAGCAGTTGCTGCTGACACAGAGCGGTGAGATGCGGCTGGCACTGCTCCTCTGGGGCTGGAGCTTGATGGGGTGCACCTCATTGGCCATGGCTCTCATGGGCACATAGCTGCTTTCCCGGCGTGGTGAGGTCTCCACCCTGGCAGGCTCCCTGCCAACACGCAGCACTTCACGCCCTCTCCTTGTGGGCGGCGGGGGAGAGGAGGACATCTGGATGGAAACAGGGGTGAAGGTGGATTTCACGCGGGGGGCACTCTTTGACCTCGCTCTCCTCTTTGGCTCTGCCCGGACAGACGGTTCCTTGGGGCCTTCCCTCCCATGAGGGTGGGACCTGGTGTTATAAACATCTGACTTAAAGGCTGCCTTTCGCATGCCAGCGCCTGAGGAGGGCTCCGGGGTGCCCGGGCGCCGGCAGGGGCGCTCCATGGCGGTGCCAGGCTCCAGCTGGTCGTCAAATGACTCGAGAAAGTCAAAGCTCCTGCAGTGGCGCTTGTTGAAGGGCTGCGGGTCACGCTGCAGGGAGCTGGACATGAAGGCATCACATTGTGGCCGTGGCTGGCAGACGACAGAATCTCTGGGCACGATGGAGTTCACCTTTATGTCTTGATACACTGTAGACACCAGTATGTCAGGCGGGTCGGTCCGTGTCATCTTAAATGTAGCTCTGCTTTCTCCAGCTCCTCTTCAGATCATCTCAGTGGAAGCCAGCCAGCCCTGCAAGAGAACAGAGAAGGTGCCTTGAGTCTCAGTGCATTCTGGGAGAATCCGGAGAGACAGGAGATCAAAGGAGAAAGCAGCGATGCTGGCTCTTGCAACAAAACCACAAATCTCTCAACACGGGAGGTTTGTCTGACAGGCTCTGGCATCGTGGGACACAGGGAGAATCCCAACATGCACTGCAGAGAAACGCAGTCGGTTTCTAGTAGAGAAAACCTACAGAACACGGCTCCTGAAGGGCCCAGTTCCAGAAAGTAGAACAGCAGGTCCTCCCAGGGATCATGGTTCAAAGCTCGCAACCGAAAAGCCAACCTCCTGGTTTTGGAGGAGGCCAATTTAGGAGTCCTGAACACTCAGGGCTGGCAACGCAGATAAGTCTCATGGGCAAAAGAGACAAAAATGCCTCTGCTGGCATGAGAACAAGAGCTGGTGGAATGGTTCAGAACACAAAGGACTTCAGGTGACTTTGAGCCAAAGTCTCCTTGTGAACCGGGGCAGACCTAGGGGTGGCACACAGTGTAGTCGCACCCCACCCCGCCTTTGATTCCTTGCTCACCCAAAGTTTAAAGCCAACTGCCTGGTACTGGCAGCAACATTTCTAGTCAGGCAGCAGCAAGGGCATCGATTGACTTCAGGGCTCATTGTAATCTCCCTGAATCCTTCTAATCCCTTCATTCCACCAGTGTTAACGATCTTCTTTCCTTTTAATTATCTTTAATAGTTTTACTACTCAAGCTATCCTTGCTTCTGCAATGATGCTGGCTGTTAGCTGCTCCTAGTAATGTAGCTCCCATGTCACAGCCCTGCAGACTGTTTTTTTTTAACTCTAGCTAGAAACATTAACTCTGGTGTGGTAATGTTAAATCAAGTGAACACTAACTCAGGAGTAGAAATGACTTTCAATGAAGCATTGGAGGCACTGTCAAGATGCTCAAGAAAACTAGGCTTTGTTTTGTGATCTAAAAGATGTACGCTTAACTATAACGATTACAGGACTAATGAAATAACATATATTGTGTTTTTATATATAAAATATGATACAGCATATGAATTCACACTCCAATAAAGTATTAGGGGTTTTTTTGCTTCAATCTTAAATTGAATACTATAGCTCTAGACCTCTAGCTTCTTAGCAAAGCTTCTAGTTTCTTTTTAATTGGAGAAAGTTGTGTGTGGTGTTGTATGTGATGATGCGCTTCACCATCTGCACCCCCTTTTTCAAAATCCTAGGTCTGCCCATACCTGTGCACCATTCCTGAGTGCTCATGGGACTGAGGCTCTGCTTACATGGCTGTTTGGGGAAAGTTCCTTACATGAGTGCCTGGTTCAGGGAGCAATGTGCTCAGATACAACGTCTAGAACATGGGATTACTGGACAAAGACTTCAGAAGCATATGCCCTGTTCAGGAGCTATACAGCTGATCGGAAACCAAATTTTCCATCTGGTCAGAAATTACAATACTTCCAAACTAGTTTCCATTCTGAATTGGGACAAAAAGTGGAAACAGAATATATCTTTTTTGATCTTTCCAGTTCATAACAAACCTGGAATTCAGATAAGTCCTGCTGTTTGGTTTTAGAGTGGTTTGACATTAACCAGAGTCCACTGGACATTGGCTGGTGCCTCTTGGAGACTGCACTGGTATTCAGATGCCTCATATCCCCAGTCTCCTTCATGGGCCACAGACTACATGGTGCACTGTGGTCCTGGGACTCCTATGGTACATCACAGTTCAATCAGTGCTTGGTGCATCCTGGCAGATGATGTCCAGGCAGGGAGCGTGGCCCATGAAAGAGAAGAGATGGCTTCAGGCACCCAAACACCAGTTCCCAGGTGTCATCGGAGCAGCTCAAGAAGGCACAAATTAGCCTAGGAGTGACCCAAAGGGAAAAAGGCCATGGTGTTTTCCCAAGAAAAAAAGAATTTGACAAAAATGAAACTGCCCTGTGGAGAACTTCAGAATTTTTTTAGGAACTGAAACATTAATCCAGAAAAATATGATAGAAAACTCCCATCCTGCTCATATGGTCAATTAGTCACTGTCCCTCCTCCGTTGACCACCAGGAGGGAGGCGAGGATAACCATGGGAAGACACCCAATCTTGGCCATCCCCTGCCCAGCTCCTGTGAATGTGCCCCAGGCTCTCTCTCTCCACTCACTTGCACCACAGACCTCCATGGACTACAGTTGAATTACTCCTAATTCATGCCAGCCTGAGCCTGAGCACCCCCTGCTGTGTGGGGCTTGTTCTGACCCTGGCTACATGGGACACGAACAAGTGCAGATGGCTTGCTGTGCAGCTCGACTTCTTATCTTCAGGACCCCTGAAACAATCCTTTATTCTCCTCCTTTCCATCAGTCTTGGTCATCCAGGGGTCACCCTGGATACTGGCAGCCACTAAAAGGAGGCCCTGAGCATGTAGTTTGCAAATAGCTCATAGCAGGAGAGTGGCTCCATGTGCTATTTAGGCAGCTGAGAGGAAACCGGAAAAAGCACCTTGCAAAGAGAGACATGGGACAGGGACACCTTCCTCAGCTCACTCCTCTGCCATCAGTAATGTGACAGACTCCAGTGCCAACTCCCGGTGGCATATACAAACTGGCATCTGCAGCCATGAGAAAAGTAACCCCATGGGCTGCAGGGAGGGGCTGGGCATGGCCAATTACCTGTTCTGCACAGGTGTCCAACTTGCATGTGAGCATGTGGTGGAGCAGCGTCACACCTCTCCCAGCTCCAGGGGACACAGGTTACATGCTTCCAGGTCCAAGACAACTCTCTGAGGCTTGGCAAAGCAATGTTAGGCTGCTTCAGATGGTGTCTAGCAACAGTGCCTCCCATAAAGATAAAAAGGCAGCAGAGACTGTCAGGCCCTGTCTAAACCAGTCTGCTTCTGGTAGCTGCCCCAGGGAAGCTGCCTGCGTATGTCTATCTCCACAAAGCCCCACCACAGCAGCTGTGCTGGCAGGGGTGAAGTACACCCTGGAAAGGCACCAGCTATTGAAGGAGCTGCAGGAGGTGGCAGAAGGTGCAGGAGTGTTTCCATGAGCCTTCTGCTGGCTGCCAGGTGGGGGCAGAGCCTCCTTTGCCTTGGAGAGCAGAAACCAGGAGGAGAACTGCTTCTCCAGAGCAGTGCAGTGTGGACATGCAGTTCTGCTCACAAAGCTCCATTATGTAGGGCAGGCCCGAGCCTGGAAACTCAAGAGGCACAGTGGCCCGGCTGCATCCAGAATTCATCTCAGATGCTCTACAGCTGCATCCCATCCATCTCACAAACCACATCCTCTATGCCCCCAGCGCTGCCAAGAAGCTCCCAGCACAACTCAGTAGGTCCGGGCGCACATGGTGGAAGGGTGCCACCAATCACATTTCATAGATTTCACAGACATCAGGGCTGGAAGGGACCTCGGAAGATCATCGAGTCCAGCCCCCCGCCCAAAGGGCAGCAAGTCAGCTGGGGTCATAGGATCCCAGCAAGATAAGCATCCAGTTTCATCTTGAAGGTGTTCAATGAAGGCTCTTGAACCACCTCCGGTGGCAGGCTGTTCCCGACCTTGGGGGCTCGGACAGTAAAGAAGTTCTTCCTTATGTCCAGCCTGAAACGATCACATACATGCCTGCACCACAGAGACTGTGTGGAGACCCCCGCACCTTGTTATGGGGCAGGTCCCAGTGTCAGACAGGGTGGGAGCCTGCAGCATGTATGTGCCCATATACACACATGCATAGCCTGAAGGCTCTCTCACAGGGATCCCATTAATCTCAAAACCTCTTTTCAAAGCGGCTCCAAGACAGACTTCTCCCATCCCAGGGAGCTGTAGGAACCTAGAAGCCTCAGGTGATTGAGTGCAAATAGGTGCAAAATGGAATGGTGAGTGCAACCCTGGCCTTATTTTCATTGCACATTGGGGGGAATCCTCCTAGATTATGATCCCACAAACCCCTGCTGCATGCACCCAGCTGCATCATTTGTATAGGTACCGACATGCCTCTGTTCCCACGTTCTGCACAAATGGCAGACCCTCTGCATGAACAGACTCCCACTGGGCCTGCACACATGTAGCTTGCACTGAGTGCACAGGCACAAGCGTAGGAGAGCTTGTCTTTGAGGGGGGTGTAAGTCTTTGGGGAAACTGGGTCCCTGAGGCACCGGTGAGCAATGTGCCCTAGAGACAGAGTGCTGTGTGAATCAAACATTGGTAGAAAAAGTGTGCTCAGGTCTCCAGAGTCTCCGTGGTCAAACTCCCAAGGCCATTACTACCTGATGAACCTGTCATGGCCTCAGGACACCATGTGGCTCCATGCCAGCTGCCTCCCCACCTAGCAGTACACCCATATCTGCACTGCTCTTTGGGTAGGTCAGTTAGCAACACCCATGCTAATTAGCCAGCCCTCAGCACCATGGGGACAGGGCTATATTGTTTCCAGTGCAGGTGGCAGGCTGCCCAGAGTCTTGAAGGCCCCGCTGACAGTCTCAGTAAAATCACTGTGCCGACAGCCTGCTGCTCACAGCCGATGGACACGGTTGATCATCGCTCCTTCTCCCCAACACTGGGGACAGGGGAGCCCCTATGAAGGGCTTAGCTCTGTTTCTGGAGCAGGGAGCAACTCTGGACAGGTTGGAGGCCCTAGCTAGACAGTCCCTACCTGGTCTAGTGGCAGTGGAGCGGGTCTGGATGGGCGAAGCTGGCAGGGGTAGCTGGGGTAGCTCCATGTTGGCATCAGTTCCAGGCTGGAAAATAAAATATGTATCACATGAATACAGGAGATTCACACTCAACCAGCAGCCGGCAGCAGGGAGAACCTCCCCACAACTGCTTGCCAAGTTCAACACCAGTCCAGTCCAACCCTGCCGGGCTGCTCTCCGCTCTGCTGGCACGTGGCTGCGTCTTGGAAGCAACGAGTCTCTGTGCGCCACCGGCAGCACAGCCAATACTCAAGACCTCCTTGTCAGCATCAGGTTTTGGCTGTGGCTGGAGCCAGTCGGGCCACAGCACAGCAGGGCCAGTGCTCTTGGGAATTCCAGCCTTATCTGGAGGAAAATCCCAACTGATTGGCTGCTTGCCCCTCTTGCCTGCCTCCTAGGAAACAGCAGCCAATTGGGGATGTTGCAGGAAAGAGACCCCCGCCCCTCCCTCCCCTCCACACTAAGCAAAGTCATGTAGGTCTGATAGGTGGGGAGACCAGCATGGACCTGCGCTTCCTCTCCAGCCCTTGTGAGGAACAGAGATGCACCCCCCCGCCAAAAAAAAAAAAAAATACCCTGGCCTGTGTAGGGGGAGAAGGAGACCCTGTTGCAGGGTCCCTGGAAGACAGAGATGAAAAATCCCAGAAGCTACAAGAAGAGCAGAAGTGCTGAGAGGGCAGAATTGGTGCAAGAGCAAATTATAAACCAGAGTTTTTAGTCTGGGCACCCCACGGAGAAGGAGTGAACCCCAGCAGCCAATGTGGCCTTGTTAAGAACAAATCATGCCAAGGCAACTGGATCTTCTTTGCCAAGGTAACTAGTTGGGTGGATGATGGGACATAATACCCTTGGATTTAGTAAGGCTCTAGATACTGCTCCATGTGACTAAGTCAGCTGGGAAAACGGGGCTGGAGACAGTTACCATTAGGCAGATGCAACATAACTAGCTGTATAACCTCAAGCAGAGAGAAACGATAACTGCCAGAATGGCAGGAGGTTTCAAGTGGGGTTCCACAGGGGTCTGCTCCGAGTCCAGTGCTGCTTAATATCTGTATTGATTATCTGGAGGCCGGAAAAGAGAGCTCTCTGATCAAGCTTGCAGGTGACACAGGACTAGGAGGGGCTGCAAATGCTTTGGGAGATAGGATTAGAATTCAAAAGGATCTTGATACATTGGAGAACTGGGCTAGAGGCAGCACAATGGATTCAACACAGACAGATGTGAGGTGGTGCCTCAAGGGAAGCAGCAGCAAATGCACAGATAAAGGTGGTGAGCTACCTGGCAGGGCAGCAGCATTGCTGAGAAGGATCTGGGGGCTTTGGTAGATCACAGACTCAACAGGAGCTGGTAAGATGATGCCACAACACAAAAAGCACATGGTTTTGGGCTATACTGTTTGTAAAACATGGGCAGTGACTGTACCATTCTGCTCAGTGCTAGTTAGGCCTTAGCTGGAGTTGTGTGTGCAGTGCTGAGCTCCATGCTTTAGGAAGGACATAGAGAAAATGGAGAGGACCCAGAGGCGACCAACACAGACAATAGAGGGGATGGAGAGCAAAGTTGTACGGAGAAAGGCTGAGAGAACTAGTTGTGTTTAGTTTGGAGAACAGGAGAATAAGGGGAGACACTAGAGCAGTTTCCAAATATTTGAAAGGCTGCCATAAAGGAGTGAGAGAAGAACTGTTCTCTCTCACTGCAGAGGGCAGGACATAAAGTAATGGATTTAAATTGTGGCAAAGCAGATTTGGATTCAATCTCAGGGAGAAAATAAACTTCCTTACTGTCAGAATGGGAAGCTGAGGATTCTCCTTCACTGGGCAGGGTTTTCAAGAACAGGCTGGAGTAGCATCGGTTGAGGTAGTTTAGCAGTAGCATATTCTGCATCTCCAAGGGGTTGGACCAGTGACCTTAGAGGTCCCTTCTGCCCCTATGACTATTAGCAGGAGCTATATTAGTGGGGTGGTAGAGATGGGAAGAGCTGATGTGTGAGGAGACATGGTTGGTTTGAAGGTCAGGGGCAATACTGACTGCTGGGCAGATGTGAGAACAGAAGCTCCTACAACACCACAGGGCCAAAACTTCCTTCCTCACTGCCCTTAGGAGCATGTGGCATCGTACAGACTGCTCCTCACATGCACTGGGTGGGGCAGAGGGTTTCACAGAGCAGAGGGGCAAACCAGAGAGAACAATGATTAACACAGTCCTCATGATTTGGGGCTTGCCACCTGATTTTTGAGCTTTCAGTGCTGGCCATACTGAGGGCATCAGGCAGTTCAAAGCAAATTGGCAAGAGTCACACAAGGAGTCAAGGCTTCAGTTCCCAAGAGAGGCCAAGGGGAGCGGTGGGATCATGTCTCCCTCCAAGGGCTGCAGCCAGTATAGCCCATATCAGGTCAAAGGCCATCCCCAGGCTAGTGGCCCATGGGACTACTGGTTAAGGCACACGTTTCTGTAGCTAACAGCACAAGGCTAGGATAGTGCTAGGCTGCCTTTCTACCCAAACCATCACTTACCCATTTACCACTTGTATCAAAGGCCAGGCCTTGGCAGCCAAGTTCAGAGTAAGGTTCAAACTCATGCAAGAGCAGCAAGACACATTAACCCCTCTGCCACTGCGCCCTTACAAAGGTGGTACCAGCCTGCTGTCCACTGAGTCAGAAGAGCTACCCCTGGAGTCAAGGGGTGGGGAGCACGCACCTTCAGCTTGGAGAAGATCCAGCCCTTACCCCTGTTAGGGTCTCATGATACGTTATCAGAGCCCTTTGGCCACAGCAGCAGGCAGTTCCCTGATTAACCAGTTGCCAGTATGGCTTCCTTTGGGTGGGAGAAGAGCTTTGCTCCTTCAGTCTGTTGGACACACCTCCTTCACCCAACTTCAGGCACTGGCCTCTTTCCTCCTTCCTTCTATGGCAGGGGTGGGCAATTATTTCAGGAAGGAGGGCGCTTACTGAGTTTTGGCAAGCCATCAAGGGCCACATGACAGGCAGCCCAGGGTAGGTAAACACTAATTTTCTAATTTTTTTAGGGGACCCGCAGGCTGGATAGAATGGCCTGGCAGGCCGCATTTTGCCCAGCCCTGTCCTATGGGATATCAACCGTGTGTTCCTTTGCCCTGCCATGCTCCCTCTGCAACACTGCAAGGACAACCATAGCCATGTTCAATGCTTTTTGTCTCTGCAACTCGTGGAGCTCTCCACAGAGGGCCAGGGAAGCTGCAGGGTGGGGCAGGACAGGGCAGGGCATCAGGAGGTTAAGGGGCTACCGAGTGTGATGGAGAAGGTTTGAACCGAGTGGTGCTGTACTTAAATTGGGAAGGACACATCCGATAAATGAGACCATCGGGGGAGCTGCGTGTAGGGCGAGGGAGGAGCCAACTGGCACAGCCCTGGTTAGAGAAGCAGATTTCAGCCTACACTTGGCCCTGGTGCAGAGGGAGGAAGCATCCTCCTGAGTCACTCATGCTGCATCCGTTCTAAGAAGTCTCCCATGGAAAGCAGCAGCCAGGCCCACCCCTGCCTCAGTGGGGGAGTCAAAGCAGCAGCACAGCCGAAGATGCCAGCAGGGGTCCCTGCCACGTGATCCCACAGCTGTCCAGCTCCAAGGTTCAAAAGGACTCAGAGCATCTGGAAGGGTCGCTCAGCACCCAGAGCAGGACGGCACCAGAGCTCAGCCGTCTCCCTCGGACGCCTGCTCAGTGCAAGCTGCGAGCAGAGCCCTCCCCTTTGGGGCTCTGAACTGCCCCCACCCAGGGGCTGGAAACCTGGGGTGGGCTCTGCCGGGCCTCGCCAGGGATTCAGCCACTGAGCTCACGGCACTGGCATCCCTCACGCTGCCTACGGTTGCCATGGTTTCGCTGCACTGTTTCTCTCCTCCAAGGAGCAGCGCTTGCGGGGGAGGGCAGAGGCGGGAGCTGTTTGAGGGGAGCTGAGCACCGCTCACAGGTGCTGGAGCAGTAGAGACGGAGGCCTTGCCTTTGCTACGCCAAGAGAAGGGCAGAGGCAAAGTCACAAGCTTCTGTGCCGCTGTCCCAAGGGCAGGACTGGGAGCATGCGCCCCACGGGCTGCCCCCTGCATGAGACGGGCACCTAAGCACCACACTGGGATCTCCTGGGTCAGGGCCCCAGACTGCTGGCAAGCGCTTCAGTTGGCAGCCTGTGTAAACCCTGGCCAGGGGGCAGGCACTGTGCTCTGCCCCTCGGCCTGCTTGATCCTGCAGGAATAATCACTAGACTGGGACACTCAGAGCAGAGCCCACCTTCATGTCCAGACCTCTGCAGATCCCTGGTGCTGGGTACCTAGGGGTAGGGTAGGATGGGGTGGGGTCCCGCTGGCTCGGGCCAAGGCCATAAGGACACTTCCTGCAGTGCTCTAGTTGCCCTGAGCGGCTGGCAGAAAGAAAATGACCTGCATGGCTTCCCACGGACTCGGAGGCAATTGCTGTTGGAGTGGGGCAGCAACGGCTTTGCCCTTCCTGTGTCAGACCCTGGCCTTGGGTCAAGGAGTCGGGGTGCCAGCTAGTGCCCTGCACCTCACTGGCTTGTAGCAGATCTCCACAGGGGGCTGGAACTTCACCCCCTCAGCCCCCCCCCCCCCCACACACACACACACTTAACAACTGAGGCAGGGGCATGATTTGCCCAAAACACAGACTACCTCAGTAGCAGAGCCTGGGCATCTACACTCACAAGCCTGTGTCCTCCTAGTCCACTGGAAGGATCTCTCTGGCACCCCATAAATGCCTGTCACCCCTCAACCCCCCTTGGTGCCCTTCTCCCATCCACTAGCCTTGAGAAGACACCCTTTCTACCTTGCACCTTTGTAGAAGCCTCCTTGAAACTGCCCCAGTGAGCTCCAACCTGGGAGCATCAGGGTTGGAGGAGAACCATGGGTAGTAGTAGGAAGGCTTCACATGGCCTTAGGAACAGAGGACTAGAAAGGGCCTTTGGGAGCACACTGACTGCCAGTGAATGCTTTGGGGCTCTTATCCGAGAGAAGATTGAGCTTCAGCAGTAGGAGGCGTAGGAGGAACATGGGCTGGCATCTGCAAGGGCACTGGTATGTGTGTGGATACCTCAGAGACTGGTCCC